ACGCAGAAAACACCCTGGTTTCGTGAAGAACAAGCTGATGTAATGTTAAACTATCTTCCCCTTAGAAATGTACTAATTTAGGGTATAAAAGCCATGGTAAAAAAATAAAGCATTGCCAGACTCTGCTAGATTCTGCACTCCCCGTCTGGTCACTCTCTCTCTCTCCCTCGCAGACTTGGCCCTATCAAAGCTGGTCTCATGTGTCTTCTCTCTCTCGCCGACGCTGTTCATTCTAAGGGTACCCCTGGATCCTGCTGAGGCTGGACCCTGGCACACAAACAAGGAAAGGGTGTGCGTGCTTAGTCACTCAGTAATGTCTGAGTCTTTCCGACCCCACAGTCTGTAGCCTGCTAGGCTCCTCTGCCCATGGGAATTCTCCAGGCAAGAATACTGGAGTGGGTTTCCATGCCCTCATTCAAGGCATATCATCAGTGTTTGTCTTTGTCTTTTCAAAAAGATAAACAAAAGTGACAAACTTTAGCTAGACTAACAAAGGAAAGAAGACTCATAAATAATATTAGAAATGAAAGAGAAGACATTAAGCTGATATCACAAAAATACATAAGGTCATAAGATACTGTTGTGTAGAATTATATATCAACAAATTACATACCACAGAGAACAGATAAAGTTCTAGAAATACATAATATGTCAAGACAGAATCAGGAAGAATTAGAAAATCTGAATAGTTATAATTAGTAAAGATATTGAACCAGTAATCAAAAATCTCCCAACAGAGAAAACACCAGGACTAGATGTCTTCACTGACAAATTCTATAAAATATTAATATTTGTTGTTGTTGTTGTTGTTGAGTCACCAAGTTGTGTCTGACTCCATGGCCAGTAGCATGCCAGGCTACATTGGGTTTTCCAGTCAAAAACACTGAAATGGATTGCCATTTTGTTCTCCAGGGGATCTTCCCAGATCAGGGATTGAAACTTTATCCCCTGCATTGGCAGGGAAATTCTTTATCACTGAGCCACCAGGGAAACCAAATTATCCATTCTTTTTTTCCTTCCTATTTGTGTGTGTGTTATAAATTTTCAAAGATCTGAGTTTAATTTAGAATCAAATTTATTTCCTGGTCCATAGAAATATATGAATTTCAGAATCTGGAGGAAAGAATTCTAAAAATTTTGGAGGAATTTGATGCTGGTGACAATTAAAATCTAAAATATTCCTTCAAGGTCAGGGAACTGCATCCACCATGACACACATGGAAATGGTCATCACTGCATTGTTGTCAAAGCTGTTTAACTCAGAGACCCCATGGCCACACTGCCTTCTGAGCCCATTCTCAGCTCTTCCTTGGAGGCCACAAGCAAAGTTATATCAACAAGGGGAAAGACTATATTACCAAAAAGGCCCCCTACCCAAAGGGATCTCTCCTAAGATAGTTTTCCCAGGCTTTAGAAATGGCTTCTAAATTGCAGGGTTATTTCTTGTTTTGGATTCCAGGAACCCTAGGTATCCACTGGTTGGAACTCAGGGATTCTTAAACTCCCCTGTGGTAGGGACATTTAACATGAATATGTGTGATTCTTTTTTTCTTCTACTGAAGTATAAACATTATCAGAATCAAAATAATATTAAAGGAAGATTTTCATCTTTGTATATCAAAGAACTATAAGTATCATTAGTTCAAATATGGTTGGTGAAAATTGTATGAAACTTATCATGAAGTCTTTCATTAGAAAAGAGTAAGTTAATATTATTTTTGCTTTTTCAACCTGAATCTCTTTAGTTCTCCCACCTGATTCACTTGTCAAGTCTTTTAGGAGTTGCACAGTTACATTTCAGAGACTGCTTAAACAGAATGGACCTCATGTTGTAAATAATAGTATGATTCTCTGAAGAGAATAAGAATTTCTCCTCCAAATATGTCTGCATAAATTTGTAATATAGTTAAAAAGCCAAAGAGAGGAAAGTAGTAATTCTGAAGACTATGAAGCTCCTTAGAGACTAAAGTGGGATCTCTGTCAGTCCCTCATTCAGACACATCACCACATAGCATGAAGCTCATGCTCAGCACTTACTCCAAGGGCTGAGAATCATTGCTTCAAAAACTTTTCTTAAAAAATTAAAGAGGAGAGAAGGAACATTTCTAAACTCATTCTACAAGGCCAGTATTACATCTTGATATCAAATAGACAAGGACATTATAAGTAAAGAAAACTATATGCCAATATCCAGGGTAAATATATATGCAAAAATTCTCATCCAAATATCAGGAAACCAAATTCAACAACGCACTAAAAGAATTATATACCATGACCAAGTGGAATTTATCCATGGGGTGCAAGGATGGTTCAACATCCAAATAAATAGATGTAATACATTGCATTAATAAAAGAAAGGATAAAATAGCTTGATTATTTCAACAAATGGAGAATAACATTTGACAAGATAACATCCTTACCTGATAAAACCTCCTATGTATTGGGTGTAGAAGGAACATACCTCAACATAATAAAGACTGTATTTGGTAAACTCAAAGCTAACATGATCAACAATGAAAATATGAAAACTTTTTTCTAAGATCAGGAACAAGACATGATGGCCTCTCACACTCATTCAACATAGTATTAGAAGTCCTAGCTAGAGCAATGAGGCAAGACAAAAAAATAAAAGGTATCAAATCAGAAAGGAAGAAGTAAAGTTGTCATTCTTTTTTTTTTTGTGGATGACATAATTTTTTTGTACAGATAATCCGAAAGGTTCAGCCAAAAACCTGAACTAATCAACAAATTCAGTAAAGGTATAGTATAAAAAATCAACATATAGTTGCATTTTTCTATACTAATAATGAAACATCTAAAAAATTATGCTATTTACTATATGATCAAAGATAATAAAATAACTAAAAATAAATTTAACCAATGAAGTGAAAACTCTGCACAGTTATAAGACTTTGTTGAAAGAAATAGTGGAAAAAAACAAATAAATGGAAAAACATCATGTATTCATAGATCATAAGAGATAATATTGTTGAAATATCCACACTACTCAATGCCAGCTAGGGCATCACACCTACCAATTTCAAATTATACTACAAAGCTATAATATTTAAGACAGTATGGTATTGGCCTAAAGATAGATAAATAGAACAGTGGAAGAGAATGCAGGGTCCAAATTAAAACTGTATTTATAGTCAATATTTGACAAGGAAGGCAAAAACACCTAATTGGGAAATGTTAGTCTATTCTTTGTCTTCTGAGAAAACTAAGCACATGTAAAAAAGTGAAAGGAGATCCCTATTGTACACATTTCACAAAAATGAATCAAATACTTAACATAAGACTAGACAGCATAGTGGTCCTAAAAAAAAAAAAGGTGGAGCAAAGCTTCCTTAATATTGGTTTTGATAATGATTTTTTTGAATATGACACCAAAATCATGACAGAAGAAATAATCAATGATAGGACTATATCAAACTTGAAAGCTTCTTCACAGCAAAAGAGGCAATCAACAAAATGAAAATACAAGCTACAGAATGGGAGAAAAGTTTTTGCAAATCACATACTGAATGAAAAACTGATATCAAAACTATTGATGCATTTTGCCAAAAGTCGATTCTTTAAAAGGTAATGAAAATTTCTGAGAACCTAATAATTAATAGAAAAGTTACTGTTTGAAGGAATAGTTTTTCTATATAATGAAATCTCCACAATAATTGACTTGGATTCAAATCTTGTTTTACAACTTAATAGCAACAGCTACATTTACTGATTATTATCATTATCCTACTGTTCATCTTTCCTTGTCATTATCCCTTTCCTTCTAACCTCCGTTCCTACTAACACTATCATGTTCCTGAAATGAGAATGGTGAAATCTTTCAAAATACATGGTTAAGTAGTGAAGGACTGTCACTAATCTTATTTCAGCCTTTGGACACTATCATAGGTAGTGAAAATTACCATAGGTAACTCAAACAATTTGCAATCTAGAGAGTTTTCCCTTTGGAAAAGATATCAGTTTAATTTTTCCACCAATAATGAGTAGCAGCAAAATAACAATAGTTAATATTTCTCCTAGACCACTGAGTGTATGTCAGGGACATTTTGGATGTTTCATATGTACAGTTTTTTTCCCCACAAGAACAATATGAGGTTGGCACTATTATATGACTTAGTGTGGCCATATCTTTTCTATCCTTGTTTCCTGTATTTCATAGCAACTTGCTAAATTGTGTCCCTTTCTACTCTTCCCCCTTTACAATCCAACCCAGTGACTATATCCTATGTAGGTTTTTTTTAAATGTGATCAAATCTCTCACTTGACCCTTTTAAAGTTCTACCAAACACCTTTACTAGATGTTTCAAACCCCTTATAATCATCTGTCTCCAACTTACCTCTTCAGCATCATCTTCCTCTTCACTCAGCCTCTTCCTCTTTTGACTAAACTTAGACTTCTTGGCCACTATTATTACTACTCAACCTGCTTTCCTTTTGTATCCACTTCTGCCCTGTACCTTCAATTATTCCTGAATATCCTTTGGACTTCACCTCAATTATTAATGACTCAGAGATATTTCTGTGATTGCTGTTAGATATTTCCTTATCATCGTGGTCTTTCCATATTGTAAAAATTAACACACACATTTTATTGCTTGTTTGTATTCTGTCTTTCCAGGTAGAGTGTCAAGTGGCAGAAACTGGGTCTCTACCATTTGTCTGCATATTATCACATACTTCTGGAATATGCTAGTCAATTTATAATTATTTTTTAATGAGTGTCTAATGCTTTCTTATGCATTAAATGATGAATTCATAATTTAACTGACATATTCTCAAAATCTCCCAGGTATCCCTCTTTTATTCTGTAGTGTTAATGAAATTCAGATACTGTGTTGGTGTGGAATATGAGTTTCTAATTGGAAGTCACTTTAGTTTCCTACATCACTCTCACTATAATTAAACATTATAAATAAAGAATGTAAAATTATTCCTACTGAAAATGCAAAGTTAAAGAAGAACAACAGAGAAGAGTAGGTGACCTTAGGCAGAGGTTTGGCAGGTTTGCAGTGGAGGCCTCCAATAAATTCAACATTTGGTAGTAGCGGGCAAGGATATTCAAAATCCCAGTAGGATCGAAGGAGCCAAAATTCAGCTTTACCCATTGTCTCTAATAATGTAGTTGGTCTTCCTGGAAAGAAGATTAAAAAAAAAAAAAACAAGACTCAGATCAAATGAGAATATTGCCATATGTATATATTAGGTAAGTTTTGGAAAAAAGATTGGAATGATGTAGCCAAAGATGTTTGAATGTTTCTGTTCTTTGATAAAGCCAATATATATATATATATATGTGTATAATATATATTAAACATAAAATATCTGAAAACTGAACTACATAAATAAAAAAAATTAAATGCTGCCTAGAAGCTTGTGTTACAAATATGTGTGTAACTCTTCAAATCTACACGTCTTCATTTATTAAGACATTTATGAGTTTTCTAGTGACTTTTTTCAAGTTAAAAAAGAAGTTTAGTAAGATGGATGTACAATTGCTTAGAGAAGTCCTAAGTGTTTCAGTTTATGGTTTATGACTCCCCGAGTGTCCTGTACTAGTAATGGACCACAGGATTATATCTTACCCTATCATTTAATGTTTCTACACTATTTATGAGATTGATGGAACATTTTATATTTTCTTTTCATCATTTTACTTATAATAGACAAATTTCTGTGACTTTATACAAGCTTTTATTCCAAGGAAAGTTAGGACTTCATGCCACCAACTAAAAACCTGACTTACCTAGTACTTCACTGTAAAACTGGCCCCACTTCTTCTCATTAAACGTCTGGAAGCAAAAGTCAAAGTAAAGTACATATAGCATATTTTTGAGCCTCTCCATGAATGTCATGTGATCACTTAATTCAGACAATATAACAGGTACATAGGATGGTGAGTATGGAAGTTTCACACTCTTCCTTTCAATTGAATAACCAGGAGTGAAGCGAAGACTGTACACTAAAGGTACTTTAAGTATCTCAGCCAACAGCTCTCCACAGGGTCCAACGGTATCTGCAAGGACAACATCAAACCTCGATTCATGTAGTTTTGTCATCAGTTTCTTGTTTGAAACAACTTCTTTACAGATCTTTAGAGTAAGATCAGAATAATGTTCAAATAAGCTTTGCAGTGACAAAAGAAATGTCCAAAATGAATTTGCCAGGTCTGTCCATTTCCTGACAAAATGTGTGAAAACATTCTCAAGATCATCTTTAGTTAAAGATATGGGGAAAATCTCAAATTTGATGGCAGATGGTGTGTTGGGATCAATAAGAATGGAAGCTGAAGATGTCAAAACAGTCACCTCATGACCTCTCGTGACAAGTTCATCCAGAATGATCTTCATATTCATCCAATGACTAAATTCCACTGGCCACACCAGCACCTTTCCACAACTCCCAGAGCTAGAGAAACAAGTCAGTTGTAGCAGCAGCAGAAACGAGAGCCATTTCATAGACATCGTGTTCATATGCAGTACTTCATTAAAATAACTATCCTTTTGCCATTGCTCAAGCTTATAGCCAAGGAGAAATCAATCTGGAAGTTAAATTATAACTCCTACATTTCAAGTAAATACATGATATAAACAGTCAGCAGGTGTGGAAAGCAGTGCAAGGGCAAAGTGTAGAACGCTTCCAGATAACAAGGTGTGTTTCACACACTGCTTTGTCAGTGCTTTCAGTCATCTAAAAGTCAAGGATCTTGTACAACAAATTCACTGTGTTATGTAAGAGATAAGACTAGTGTAAAAACAGTAGGAATGAGAGGCACTTTTGTCTGCAGTCTCCTTGACACAGAATTTAAAATAAGGTGACATCTTCAATATGAAGGGCTAGGAGGTCCCAACACGTGTATCCCTCACAAAAACAGCAAAAATAATAAATGAACAAGTACAAGCCAATGTAAATTATTTTGGGAAAGTTCTATTATAATGGAGGAGTAGAAACCCTGAAGAGGGCAAAGCAAAAACTGAAGATGTCCATGTAAGAAGCCATGGGAAAGATTTTACATACATATATCCTTCAGTTCAGACCAGCTTGGCAGCATTAAGGATCCCTCCAACAGGATCTTCCCCATGGAGAGAAAGAGAGCAGGAGAATTCCAAAGAGCATCACCGCTATAAGCATCTGCAGCTTTGTTACTGAGGACTTCCACAGTCTTCACAAGCACTGATTCCATTTGATGGAACTGCCAAGAGTCCCTGCTGCTGTGTCTTTCCTGAGGCTGGAAATGTCACTGTGGTGAGCCCTGAGCTTGGGGTCCCATCACTCCTGTACCTTGCTTTCCTTGGTTGAAATGTTACAGTGCCTTACCATCTATGAGACTGGAGCTGCTATTCTATGTCCTGGCCCCAGGTTCTAAGTCAGTGCTTTTCTTGCCATAACTAGGGCCATTCTCCTGTTTCCTTGGACATCACCCTGTATTCCTGGAGGTTCCTGGGTAGTGTTCCTGGTAAGGAACCCACCTGTCCATGCAGATTAGACATAAGAGACTCAGGTTCGATCCCTGAGTCTGGAAGATGCCCTGGAGAAGTCCACGCAACCCACTCCAGTATTCTTGCCTGGAGAACCCTGTGGACAGAGGAGTCTGGTGGGCTGCAGTCCACGAGGTTGCACATAGTTGTACATGACAGAAGAAACTTAGCACAGCACTTTGTATTCTTAATTGTGACTTTGGCCATACCTAGGCTGAGCTGCTGCTGTTCGACACAGCCTCTCTGCATCCTAAGTCACAGCTTTAATCTGTCATGCTGTACCACTGCAGCAACAGCTCCCCATCTAATATTAATATATTAAATATATTGTCATGTGCTTAACAATAAACTTGATTTACATGCTTGCGTTTTATGTTTGTTAAGGGAAGAAAGGAGAAGAAATGTGTGTTTGCTGTTGTTCAGTCATTCAGTCATATCTAACTCTTTGTGACCCGGTGGACTTTGGCATGCCAGACTTCCCTGTCCTTCACTATCTCTGAGAGTTTGCTCATATTCATGTCCATTGAGCCAGTGATGCCATCCAACCATCTCTTCCTCTGTCATCCCCTTCTCCTGCCTTCAATCGTTCCCAGCATCAGGGTCTTTTCCAAAGAGTCAGTTCTTCAATCAGGTGGCCAAAGTACTGGAGTGTCAGCTTCAGCATCAGTCCTTCCAATGAATGTTCAGGATTGATTTCCTTTAGGATTGACTGGTTTCATCTCCATGCAGTCCAAGGGACTCTCAAGAGTCTTCTCTAGAACCATTGTGTGTTTGTACTGTCTTGTATAATTCTTTAGTTATCTTCACCAGTGCTCTTTGGTTGATTATGGTGATTAGAATTGTAGTCTGGATTTATTTTCTTTAGTCTGAAAACCTCTCTTTGGCTTTTCCTGTATGTCAGAATTCATAGCAAAGAATTCTTTCTGGGGGTGGAGTATAGAGAAATGTATGTATTTTGCCATCAGTTTTGAAAGATAGCTTTGTTTGACAGAATTTTTGGCTGACAGTTTTGACTTTGAGCACTTTGAACATAACATCCCACTGCCATAGAACGTCCATTGTTTCTGATGAAAAATAAGTAGTATCTTACTGGAGTTTGGTTTTATGGATGAATATTTTTTCTCTTAATGCATCAAGATTTTCTGTCTTTAGCTTTCAACATTTTGCTAATGTCTTTTTATGGCTTTCCTGTGTTTATCCTACTTGAAATTGGTTGAGCAAATGCAGTGTGTAGATTAATATTTTTCATCATAATTGGAATGTTTCCAGGCATTGTTTTTTGAAGATTTTGCTTTTACATTTTTCTTCTGACACTCCCCTTTTGTGTGTGTTATTGTTGTTTTAGTCACTGAGTCATGTCAGGCTCCTCTGTCCCTGGGATTTTCCAGGCAAGAATATTGGAATTGGTTGCCATTTCCTTCTCCAGGGGACCTCCCAAAGATCGAACCTATGGCTCCTTTCACATGTCCTGCATTACAGGCAGATTTTTTTCCCACTGAATCACAGGGCCAGCCCCTGTGATGTATGTATTGTGCTTAATTATGTTCCACAATTATCTACCCCTCTGTTTATTTTTCTTTACTCTTTTTTTCTCTCTGTTCTTTGGATTAGATTGTTGGTCTATCTTAAGTTTTCTGGCTTTTTCATCAGTTCTTCAAATCTACTGTTAAATACCTCCCACCTTAGTGAATTTTTCATTTCAGATATTTTAATTTTCTACTTCAAAATATTCATTTGTCACTTCATAAAATATGATTTCTATCTATTACTTATAGACTCTATTAGGTGGGACATTTTTAGTATACCTCTCTTCTTTAAGCATAGTTTCCTGAGGGTAGGTTGTATACTTCCAAGAATTTGTCCATTTCTTCCAAATCCTCCAATTTGTAGGAATAATACTATGTCCAATAGTTTCTTATGATCATTTATACTTTTTATTTTAGTTTCTCATTTTACATATTTCAGTGCTTTGACTTTTTTTGGTAGTTTCCTTTGGGTCATTGAGCCCATTGACATTAGCTAATTTGAAGTTTTTCCTGTTAAAGCCAGCCATTAGTACCTCTAACAGGCAGTTTGTTTTGTCTGTTTTTTCTCCATGTAGGTCACATATTCAAATTTTTTTATATGTTGTGAAGTTATTGTTAAACTTTGCATTTAGACAATAGAGTGTAGCGACTCTGGATACTGGCCCTCTCCAGCTCCAAGTATTGTTATTGCTATTTATTTAGTGACTACATGGACTATTTTAGTGAAGTCTTTTCCCCCTACGGTGTTAAGGCTCTGATATGGTTTCTTGGAGGGTGTAGCCTCGGGTATATTCACATTACTGGACAGCAGTGATTTTAGTAAGGTGCTCCTTTTAACTGCCCCTTTTCTTACTTTTAGCTTTCGCTGATTGTTGGGTGATTAGTAATATTTTCTGATAATGTCTTGGGAGCATAAATTGCCTCAGAATCTGATCCCAGAAAGTTTAGGCTCTTTTGTGGGCATACTCTTTGAAGCCAGCATCTGAGGTGGATTTTTACCTCAGGAAGGCTCTTCATAGCTGTGTCCTTGATAAACTTGTTTGCCAATGGTTTGACCTGTAACTGTTATGAGGCAACCAGATTTCTCTTAATTGCTTACCAAATTATCTTTCATAGTTTGTGGGCATTCTTAGGTTTGAACTTCCCACAGGAATTTTCAAATAAAGTGAGTTTCTTATGGAATAGCTTAGAGCTCTGTGTTTATGTCCTGAGTCTCCCTCTGGACAAATTCTCTGAACCTTGTCTTCCAGAGCTGGGGAATAACAGTGGCATACTTTTTTCTGAGTGACATCCCCACTTTAGCAGTAAGACCATGGCCTCTATTTTTAGTTTGCCTGTTTCCTCATAGAAACTCCATCCTATGAATGACCTGGGGCAATGAGTATTTGAAATTTAGTATTCTCAATATGTTGTGCATTAATGGAACATCTTCCTATCAGTGGGGCTAGGGAATAAGGGAGATCCCTCTCAGCAACACTTGTCTGAACTTTGCCTCTGTAACACATAACTGTGTGTGTGAGAGAGATATGAAAAGTCAAGTAACTTGACCCTTTCATGAAGATACCACAGCATTCAAAAGGGAGCTGTGGGGACTGAGAACCCCATGCTCTTTCTGAACCTACCTGGAATAGAGTTTCTCACTCTGAGTAAAGAGGGTGAGAGAGGGAGCAAGTTGAGGTTCAAATGCTACAGGCATCACTCATTTTACTATTAGTGTATTTCTGGAATAAATGTATCTTTATTTGCTATATGTCTTTAGGACAATTTCTTTAAAAGACACTTTAAATAGTTGCCTTAAAAATATTTTTCACCTGTGATGCTTGTTTCACGTGGGAGCTAGTCTGTGGAACATGCCATACTGCCATTCAGAAATTGGGAGGTTCAAAGTGTTCTTGAAAAGTTTCTCTATATTCTGATGCTTTGATACATTCTCTATGTTCTTGTATACATTCAATAAAAGAACAACCAAGGAATTAATAGTAAATTTTAATTCATCAGCTAATTTTAATTTAAGAACCAAGAAAATACATGAAAAGTACAGAAAGAAGCCTGGTTAAAGTTTTAGTCTTGCATTTTTTTGTTTGTTTTCTGGTATTACTTAAATGCTGCACAGTGATGAAGCCACAAGGCTTACTTGCTAGGGCCTGGGAGTGGGTGAACAGGAAATAACTATCTAAAGCCTATAGAGCTTAAATACTCTGGATCCAGATACAGGTGACAGTTGCACATCTTTGTACATTCATTAACTTAACACAGAATTATACAATTTATTACAGTTAAAAAGATGAATTTCCTGTAACATGAATTTTACCTCAATGGAAAAACACAAATGGTTACCAAGAGTCAGGTCAGAGGCCATGGTTTTGCAGCCCTTAATTTGTACATATATATATTTGATTGCTTATTTATGTTAGTTGATTTATAATTTTTTGTTAGTTTCACATGTTCAGCAAAATGATTCAGTATTTTTGTAGATTGTATTTCATTATAATTTATTATTAGATATTTGGTATAATTCCCCTTGTGAGTGAGTGAATGAGTGAAAGTTGCTCAGTCGTGTCTGACTCTTTGTGACCCCGTGGATTACACAGTCCATGGAATTCTTCAGGCTAGAATACCGGAGTGGGGAGCCGTTCCCTTCTTCAGGGGATCTTCCCAACCGAGGGATCAAATCGGGGTCTCCTGCATTGCAGGTGGATTTGTTACCAGCTGAGCTATCAGGTAAGCCCATAATTCCCCTTGCTATTCAGTAAATACTTGTTTCTTTTAAGTATAGTAGTTTGTATTGGTTATACTGTATTCTTAATTTGTTCTTCCCCCTTTCCCAGGTAACCATAAATTTATTATCTATGTCTGTGAGTCTGTTTCTGTTTCGTATATAGATTCAATTTGTGTTAATTTTTAGATTCAGCAAAGAATTTATATCTTACAGTATGTGTCTTTCCCTGACTGATTTATATCACTTAGCACAATATTCTCTAGGCCCACCTACATTGCCATAAATGACATCATTTCATTCTTGCTTATGACTAATATTTCACTGTAAACATATCCCACATCTTCCTAAGACAGTCATCTGTGGCTGGACGCTTAAGTGGCTTCTGTGTTTTGGCTATTGTACTGCTATGAATATCGGGGTGGATGTATCATTTTGAATTACAGTTTTCTATTTTTTTGGATATATACCTAGGCATGGAATTGCTAGATATTGTGGTAGTTCTATTATTACTTTTTAAGGAACCTCTATACTGTTTACCATAATGGTTACTTCAATTTATATTTCCAGGAATAGTATATGAAAGTTCCCTTTCTCCACATCTTCAGCATTTATTATTTATAGACTTTTTGATGTTAGTCATTCTAAACCGTGTGAAGTGATACCTCATTGTGGTTTTGACTTCCACTTCTCTAATAATTCAATGTTGAGCATCTTTTCATGTGTTGGTTAGACATCTGTATATCCTCTTTGGAAAAGAAGATCTTTTCTTTGGGTGTTCTGCCCACTTTTTGATTAACTTGTTTGCTTTTTGATATTAAATTGTATGAGCTGTTTGTATATCTGGGATGTTAATCCCTTGCATTTTCTTTTTTTCTGATAACTTTGATCTTTCTTTGTTCTTTTTTTTCCCCTCTAATTGTTTTGGAAGGTAGGTTACATTTGAAATTTTTCTTGTTTCTTGAGGAAGGCTTGCATCACGATGACCTGCCTTTTAAAATTGTTTTTGTTACATCCCATAGATTTTGTACAACTGTGTTTTCATTTTTGATTGCTTGTGGTGTTTTCTCATTTCTTCTTTGATTTCACTGTTGACCCATTGTTTTTTTTAGAAGCATACTGAATAGTGTTAATGTATTAATTCTTTCCATCTTTTTCTTTTTTGTAGGGGGTTTCTAGTGTGATTTAAACGATGCTTCATGTAATTTCTAGTTTTTGCATGTCTGAGAAATTCTTTTTCTTTCTTTTTATTCTGAATGATAATCTTGCTGGTCAGAGAGTATCCTAGGTTTTAAGGTTTTCCCATTTAGAACTTTGTATATGGCAGCACTCACTCTATGGCTTGCAAAATTTGTATCAAGAAATCAGCTGATAGACTTAAGAGGGTTCTTTTAAAAATATTTTTTTTCTTGCTTCCTTAAATTCTGTCTTTATCATTAACTTTTGCATATTAATTGTATGTTTTGTTGTGTCTCTTTTTGGGTTTATTTTGTTTTATACCTTTTGTGTTTTCTGTGCCTGGAAACCTGTTTCCTTTTCTAAGTCTGGGAAGTTTCCATCCATAATTTTTCAAATACATTTTTGATCCACTTCTCTATCTCTTCTCTTTCTACAACCTCTATAATGCATAAATTGGCACATTTTATATCATCCCCTGGATCTCCTATTTGCCTTCATTTTTAAAAATTTCTTTTTCTGTTTGCTGTTCTGATTGAGTCATTTCCATTATTCTGTCTTCCAGATCACTTACTCATTTTTCTGTGTCATTTAGTCAACTATTCATTGCTTCTAGATTGCGCTTTATCTCAGAAATTGTTCCTTTTTGATCAATTGAACTTTAAAATCTCTAATCCCTTGTTACAGTGATCTGTATTTATGTCTATAATTTTCTTAATTCAGTTAGTATATTTATTACCTACTTTTTGAACTCACTGTCTGGTAGACTGGTGTCTGTGTTTCATTCTTTATTCTTTCAGGGGATGTCTTTTGCTCTTCTGTTGGGGAGTATTTTCCCAGTCGTGTCTGACTCTTCCTGACCCCATGGACTGCAGCCTACCTGGCTCCTCTGTCCATGGGATTTTCCAGGCCAGAGTACTGGAGTGGGTTGCCATTGCTTCCTCCGACTTGGTGGGAGAGCTGTCAAAATACTTGTAGTCATGTCTCAAAAGGACTACAAATATAAATATTTGAAATAAGCCAATAGAGGTCCCCAAGCTCTTGTAAAATTCATTAAATATTGTTATTAAAACCACAGTAAAGTCATTAAAATTTTGTGTTAATTTTTGAAGCTATTGAAATTGTATGTATATGTTCTAATATATTTACTTATAATATTTGAAACACAAAGTAAGTATCCTAAAAAAGTTTATCATTTGATATATTGGATAGTATGCCAGATTTTTTCAGTCAAGTGTTCTGAATGAAACTAACACATTGATTACATTGTATGAACATCTTAGAACTTAATATATGGAATCAATTATTTTTAAACCCCAAAATTAATAAATGAAAACATTATTGTTAAAGGTCAAATAATAAATACATATATAGAATAAAAATTTAAATTCTCATCATTGGAAATTTGGTGTATTCTTTAAGATCATTTCTTCTGTAGCATACAAATTTACATATATTTCATTTTATTTTGAAAGAAGAAAGTCATGCTTATTTTTTACAATTTCTAGAACTTGGTTTTTATTTAGCAGTGTGACATGGCAGTATTCACCAACATTGCCCATAATCTATTTTCTCTCTTACCTATTGCCCCATACTTATGTTGTAGATGAGTGTGTTCATTAGCTGATAGCCCTTTAAGAGGTACTGGGAATGTTCAGAATATAGTTATAAACATGTGCAAATCTTTCTGCATGGCAGATTTCTAGATGTAGAGTGGCAATATCAGCACTATGTTTAAATCTTCTTTAAAAAGTTATTTCCACATTATACTTCCAGAAAAAGTCTTCCCATATAATTTGTTTTACAAATCATCTATAGGAAAGTAGTTTATTGATGTAATTTCCATTTCATAAAGAAGCAGTGATCATTGACACCTTTTATATGTCACTGGCCAGTTAACTTCTGTGAAATTCCTGTTCATATACTTCATATATTCATATTCATATTGGGCTGGTTGACTTTTCTTTGGAGATTTGTAGTAGTTCTCATTGTACAGTGACTACCAGTCCTTTTTCTGTTACCTGTATTGCAGGATAGATTTGAGAAAAATTACTTAAACTTATGTGTGATTGAACAATACTATCTACTATGGCACCATATTAGTTCTGTTTTTGTTTAAAAATGTGTCAATTATTTAGACAGTTTTCATGTAAAATTCGGTGGTAAATTTTTCCTATAATTCTCCAAGTGTCAATGTTTTATTTTATTTTTAAAATAAATTATGCCTCAGGTTGATAAATGTTTGCCATATGACTTGGATGGTGATCCTCTTGACCAATAAGACAAGTATGCTTTCCTCAGCTGGACCACTTTGGTTGTACACTGCTTTCCTGATGTTCAATTTTCAGGTGTGCCTTAAGATTGCTTTCATTTGATTTATCAATTTCCATGAAATTTACATAATTTTTGTATTCTGCTCATTGTTATTATGCCAGACATAATGTGCCTAAGTTTATATACATATATATTCATGTGCATTTGGAGAAAATGAAAATTCAGTAAGACCATTTATTATATTATCTTAATATACAGTTGACACCTACATCCATTATTGAAGGCTGAATATAGAAGCTAAAGAGATAAGGTAATTATTTTTAAAGGTGATGAGGAAAAATAATTAGGTCACAATATCAAAGATTTTCCCAAATATCTCAATTTTTATTTTTTAATAGGAAGCAGGTACCAGAGGCTATATTTCTAATTCTACAAGCATTTCCCTGGGAAATGAGTTAAGCTGGATGAAGGCAAATGCTATGTCATGGCTTTAGGTAAGAAATAATGGTGAGGCTGGATGCACAGTGTAAAGCAAAAAGTGTTACTGGTCTCATAAATGAAACAAAAAGGTGAATCAACACAATTCTGATTATTGTACAGTTTCTGTAGCAAGTTAAAACTATAAAATTCTGCATCAAAATGAAATTAAAATATTCTAAATATCTACAAGATAACATGGGTACTATGAATAAACTTGTTTCTGTGCACAATATGTGAAACATTGTTATATTCAATAGTTTTTTGTATAACTGAACTAAAATTAAAATGAATAAAATAAATATATGAATTTCAATATATACTCATATAGTTTTATTTTTATTTAACTTTCTCTGACATGACATCTCTCTACTCTTAAGCATAGAAAATCCCTTAAAAACTAATTTTGATTTGAGGTGCTAAACTGTGACTAGCCATTTTGTCACAGGAGGATGGGAGCCTTAACTCCTTCCTGTTGGAATTAGCTAGAAGAGTTCCAGCTATGGGGCATATCTGCTTCAGGCCTCACATACAGCTACTCCCTCTTCTTCTTTCCTGTTTTAAGAAACTTTCGGTAACAGAATAGACAACATTTTGTGATGACAAATGCAGCAGTTGCTACACAGGCCAACAGGAACCCGATCACGTCCAGAGAGTGGTACTGGTACCAGGTGAGGTCGTGGGCGGCTGGCCGCAGGTGCTTGGCTCCTCTGTGGCGCATGACAAACTCAATCCAGAAGACTGCTCGGTCCAGGGGCTTTACAGGCTGATCATGGTGAATGGTTGATAACCACATCACATTCTGTTTGTATCTGAAGAAAAATCAGATAGACATCAGTTTATAGAATGAACTAGAAAAGAGAAGTATGTAACATTTCATATAGATGGTAAAATTGAGTGCTTCATAGAGTGGGAGAAGTACAGATTATTTCCCTCCAAGTTGATTAGAGGCCTTAGCTTATGTAATTTATTAAATGCATAGGATGTTAAGCCATGAAAAAAGAGAAAACTGGAAAGAGAAGCATTTGTAATTTAAAGAATGAATGAATGAAGTCCCAAAGGCCAGAAAAGAGAAAGGAAATACATATTTTGAGTGTTCAAAGTTTGACCCATGCAGTAAGGAGTTGGTAATAGATTTTAAAATACTATCATAATCCAGAAATAGGAGACATATCCATGATGAGACTCAGGGACATGTCCAGGAAGTGCTGGTCAGGAGTTGATGTTGACATCATATTAGTGAAGTAATATTTAGAAGTGTGGAATGAAGTGCCTTGGTTTGAATCTTAACTCTGATTGCTTGCTTTTTTTTAATTGTCAAATGGAATGTTAGGAATAGTATCTTTTCTGATTATCTGGAGGAATAATACATTGATTTTTAGGGATATTCTTGGGCTTCCCTCCTAGCTCAGTTGGTACAGAGTCTGCCTGCAATGCAGGAGGCCCTGGTTCAATTCCTGGGTTGGGAAGATCCTCTGGAGAAGGGATAGGCTACCCAATCCAGTATTCTACCCACTCCAGTATTCTTGGGCTTCCCATATGCTTCAGCTGGTAAAGAATCTCCCTGCAAAGTGGGAGACCTGGTTCGATCCCTGGGTTGGGAAGATCCCCTGGAGAAGGGAAAGACTACAGAGAGCCTGGAGTGTGAAATCAAGTGGGTCTTAGGAAGCATTACTATGAACAAAACTAGTGGACGTGATAGAATTCCAGCTGAGCTATTTCAAATCCTAAAAGATGATGCTGTTAAAGTGCTGCACTCAACATGCCAACAGATTTGGAAAACTCAGCAGTGGCCACAGGACAGAAAAAGGTCAGTTTTCATTCCAATTCCAAAGAAGGGCAATGCCAAAGAATGTTTAAGCTATGATACAGCTGTGCTTATTTCATATATTAGCAAGGTTATAAGCAAAATCCTTCAAGCTGGACTTCAGCAATGTGAACCAAAAACTTCCAGATGTACAATCTGGGTTTAGGAAAGGTAGAGGAACCAGAGATCAAATTGCCAACATTTGCTTGATCATGGAGAGAGCAATCTGAATTCCAGAAAAACATCTAGTTCTACTTAATTGCCTATGCTAAAGGCTTTGACTGTGTGGATCACAACAAAATGTGCAAAATTCCTAAAGAGATGGGAATACCAGACTACCTTACCTATCTCCTAAGAAACCTATATGGAGGTCAAGAAATAGTAGTTAGAACCAGACATGGAAAAACGGACTACTTCAAAATTGGGAAAGGAGTATCTTAAGGCTCTATATTGTCACCCTGCTTTTTTAACTTCTATTCAGAGAACATCATGTGAATTGACAGACTAGATGAATCACAAGCTGGAATCAAGATTGTCAGGAGAAACATAAAAAATCTCATATATGCAGATGAGGTTACCACTCTAAGGGCAGAAAGAGAAGAGGAACTAAACATCCTCTTCAAGAGGGTAAAATAGGAGAGTGAAAAAGCTGATTTAAAACTCAACATTCAAGAAATTAACATCATGGCATCAGGTCCCATCACTTCAAGGCAAATAGAAGGGGAGAAAGTGAAAGCAGTGACTTAAAAAAAGCAGATTTTATTTTCTTGGGCTCCAAATTCGCTGTGGATGGTGACTGTACCCACAAAATTAAAAGATGTTTGCTCCTTGGAAGAAAAGCTATGACAAACCTAGACAGCATTTTAAAAAGAAGAGGCATCACTTTGCCAACAAAGGTCTGCGTAGTCAAAACTATAGTTTTTCCAGTAGTCATGTGCAAATGTGAGAATTAGACTATAAAGAAGACTGAAGGCCAAAAAATTTGTTTTTGAATTATGGTGCTGGAGGAGACTCTTGAGAGTCCTTGGACTGCAAGGAGATCAAGCCAGCCAATCTTAAAGGACATCAACCCTGAATATTCACTGGAAGGACTGATGCTGAAACTGAAGCTTCAATACTTTTGCCACCTGATGTGAAGGGCAGACTCATTAGAAAAGACCTTGATGCTGGGAAAGATTGAAGACCTGTTCTATAAAAAACACAGTGGAAGCACTGCATTTTTGAGAAGAGGGCAGGGATTCAGAAATATTTTTGTAATACAATAGGGAAAGACTATAAAGAAGTACAAAGTGAAACTGTTAGTTGTTCAGTCATGTCTGACTCTTTGTGACCCCACCAACTGTAGCCCACCAGGCTCCTCTGTCCATAGAATTCTCCAGACAAGAATACTGGAGTGGGTTGCTATTCACTTCTTCTGGGGATCTTCCTGATCCAAGGATTGAACCCAGGTCTCCTGCATTGCAAACAGATTCTTTACTTTCTGAGCTCCCTGGAAAGTCCTAATGTAGTGGGAATTTGAGATAAATTATGTCACTGTGATTTACTAAAATTAAACCATCTTAGAAGAATTTAAAACATTTGTTGATTTTACATGCCGAAAGAAAGTATGCAGATGAGTACTCATAGCATTCATGAGTACTTTAGCTTTGTTCTCAGTTCTTCCTCTTAATCCTTGTTTCCTTTGAGGGATTCTTCTCAACCTAATATTCCTTCTCAACCTGGTATTCCCATCTCTTTCAAAATTTATCCACCATCCTTGAGCCTTTGACAAACATTTTCCCTACAACCATGGAAAAAACTTAAGGTGACACAGTAGGCTATTGTTGACTGTTTTCAAAACATTGAGCAAAATTTTACTCCTCTGTTTTTATGTGACAGCCCCTTGCTGCCTCCCATGTCTTCCCAAGAGAACGTCTCTAGAAATAATAGTAATATATATATACATGTACATATACATATATATATACTCACAAGGGATTATTAATGACTTCGTTCAATGCATTAAACAAATCTCTTGTTGACATTGTTTCCAAGTCCAATTTGACAGCTGCTCCCTTGGCCTTCATATGAGCGAGGTTGTCAGGTTGATCAGCAAACAAAGGAATGCCCACCATAGGGATCCCATGGTAGATGGCCTCATAAATGCCATTGGTTCCACCATGAGTTATAAAGGCTTTGGTTTTTGGATGACCTAGGATTGAGTGAATTTCAGTTAAATTATTAATTGAGTCTTAGAAATAAAATGAGTACTAGAAGGCACTGAAAGAAACAGTGTATTTTAGATAACAGATGACTATACACAGGAAACTTCATTTAAATTGCTATCAGAACTCTGAGCAAGAATCTGCTAATTCTGCTGGAGAGGTTAAGTGAAGGCTTCCTAAAAGAAGAGCTTTGTCACTTGAACTTCATAAATTCAAGATTGGCAGGTAAACAAATTGAAAGAACATTCTGGGTAAAAGAAACCACATGAACAACAATCACATCAAAACAAAGAAACAGGGAGGGGATGTCAGAAATATAGTCTATTAAAGAAATCCTGAAGACATTTAGTTTGATAGGAAGGGTTTCAAGTCCAAAGGAAGGATAATACTAGTGGTAATGGAACCCAGGGATGGAAAATCTGTATTTTATCATAAAATGTATAATTTTTCAAGAAAAATATTGTGATACAAATGAAATTATTTATTTAACAGGAAATGACTCACAGATTTAGAGAATGAATTCATTCTTATCAGGGGGAACTGTGGGGTGGGGAGTGACAGATAGGGTTTTGGATTGACAGGGTACACACTACTATATTTAAAATAGGCAACCAACAAGACTCTACTATAAAATAAGATTATATATATTTTTTATTATAGAAAATAGAGAATATGGGTAATAAAAGATGAGCTGTTATGTTTTAGTAGCATTCAAAAGATCCCTATAGAGCGGACAAGTGTAAAGAGAGAGTTCAGAGGCAGAACAACAATATACAAAGTTATTTACAATTTCACTGTGAGAAGGAATTACAGTTAAAATAAAGATTTTTGATTTGTACCATAAGAAATGTATTGTGTATAATGAAATTAGGATTTTTGTATTTTCTTTTTTTTTTTCCACCTAAGGCTGGAAATAACAATGAGGAAATAACTTTTTCTTTTTTAATTTTTCAATAATAAATACTCAATAAGTTTGTTTCATATTGAAGTACTATCAGTCTGCTCAGCTGTTATTCTTGTTTTAATGTTTGTTCTACCAAGTCTCACCAAGAAGGTCGTTCTGAGGGATCCATTCATACAGCCGAGTATTGGGTCCTAAGGTGTCTGGTTTTTTGCCACTGTATCTCCATAGCACCTATTAGAGTAGAGGAAATACCTTATTTCATAAGTTGAACTTCACAGTTCTAGCATTAGAATTTTGTACAGGTTTAAAGACATCTAGATAAATGTCTTGTGTATGACAGATAAGGAAATAAGGACCAGAGATTTTAAGTAAAAACTACTAATGCATTGGCCTGAACAGAAATGCACACATTTTACACACTTGTCACGTTAAATTAGGTAAGGCATGCAGTCAGATTTCACACATGATGCCATAGACGAATGAGATTTTCCTTGAAAAATTTAACTATTTAAGAAATTGTTGGGTGGTCTTGATTCTATTGTCAAAATATTGTGGCAAATTACTAATAATCTACACGTTTATTTTGAGATAAGTTGGAGCTATCATAATAGTTTATTTTTCTTGCAGGATATATTTGTAATCAGATCTTTTACATTTTTAAGAGACTCATTAAATAGTTGACACTTTTAAATTACTATATGTACCTTTTGTGGAATCTGGGCAAGGGCTGATGCAATTGTATTAGCTCTTTCTTCTGTCATGCTAGTGATCATTGACCCCAAAGTAAACACCACAATACCATTTTCTCCAGAGCTCTGGACAAACTCTTCCATTTCCTATAAAAAAGAATTTGAAAAAAAAAAAAAAAAAGAATTTTCTCTATCACAAAAGAGCAACAACATAGTGAACATTACTTAAAGAATGCCTACAAACAGCTAAAGAGAGAAAATCTAATCTTTTTTTTCCATTTTTTTTAATTAGTTGGAGGCTAATTACTTTACAATATTGTAGCGGTTTTTGCCATACATTGACATGAATCAGCCATGGATTTACAGAATTATTAGAGTAGTGGCTTTTAAAAAACTATAAAATACACATAAGATTAATTTGCCATCTTAATCACTCCTAAATGATTCAGTCAAGTGTTAGTCAAGTCAAGTGTTAGGCACTCAGTCATGTCTGACTGTGACCCCATGGGCTGTATCTTGCCAGGTTCCTCTGTCCATAGAATTCTCCAGGCAAGAATACTGAAGTGGGTTGCCATTCCATTCTCCAGGGGGATCTTCCTGACCCAGGGATTGAACCCAGGTCTCCTGCATTGCAGGCAGATTCTTTATCAGATGAGCTACCAGCGAATCCCTTATGGTTCAATAGTGTTAAGTATATTCATGTTGTGCAACCAGTCTCCAGAAGTCTTCATCTTGAAAGACTGGATGTCTGATCCCACTAAGAAACTCCATTTTCTTCTTTCTCCAGCATCTGGAAAACTTCAGTCCTCTCCATGTTTCTACAAATTTAATTAGTCTCTATACCTTGTATAAGTTGAATTATTTAGTATTTGACTTTTTGGACTGTCTTATTTCATTTAAAATTCACCCATGGTGTTCCATGTGTCATATTTCCTTTTAATGGCTGAATAATATTTTATTGTTTGTAGATACCACATTTTGTTTATGGATTTATCTGTTGATGGACACTTGAGTTGCTTCACTCCTTTGGCTCTAGTGGATAGTGCTTTCATGAGTATAGTGTGCAAATATCTCATTGGGATCCTCATTTCAATTCTTTTTGGGTATGCCCAGAAAAGGAATTGCTGGATCATATGGTCATTTATTTTTTGAGGAAACTCCGTAATGTTTTAAGCAATGGGTGTTTTTTTTTTTTTTTTTCCATCAGACCTAATTTCTGAGGTCCTTTGGAAGAAGATGTGTCATATGAGGTCAATTTTTTCTATTGTGTGTGTTTCTGCACTTGTGTGTATGTACAAGAAATAAAATAGAGCCAGTACACAGTAGTGATGAGGTGCTGTGTCCAACACTTTGCAATCCTATGGACTGCAGCTCACGAGGCTCCTCTGTCCATGGGGATTCTCCAGGCCAGAATACTGGAATGGTTTGCCATGTCCTCCTTCAAGGGATCTTCCCAACCCAGGGATTGAACCCGGGTCTCCAGCATTGCAGGTGGATTCTTTACCATCTGAGCCACCAGTGATGAGGAGATACTGTTAAACAATTACTGTTTAGACTAAGACTACTGTTAGATTCAGACTCTTCATCTATAATGTTATTAATTATTAACATAGATTCTTGGCAGAAAGCTACACTCCAGGATTTATCTCACCCTTATTTTTTTTTATTATAGTTCTACTAAATTGTTTTTTTTTTCCAGGCAGAATTATTTTAGCATAGGCTTTCGTATTTCATTTCCATGGCTATTAGCACTGAAAAAAATTATGATTAGAATCACTTTATGTCTGTCATTCTATACCTCTATAATCCTTGTTCCTTATCTTAAATTTTGTCACAACTTTCCTAACTCTCTATTTATATTACTTATCAGTGACAGTGAGGAGTCTGGTATTGTAGTTTGAAGTTTCTGTGAAACAGTCTGATGAGGACTATTTATAATCCAACAGTCTCATACTATGAGATCTTTTATAACCCAGATGTATACTTGTGTACTCACATATTTGAATAATCTTATTACTGGTTTTGTTTACATATGACACCCTTTGCCATGAACTCATTTTGTGTAATTGATGTCACAGTAGGATGTGCTATGTGCAACGGCTTTGAGGGACCATCATCATCATTACCTCACTGAGTTTCCCAGGGAGCACCTTTCCCACAGTGCAAGAAGTGCCTCAGGGCTTTCTGCAGCAGAGATCTGGTCACATTCTGAGTAGTCCACATCAAACTAAACAGCTCCTGGAGAAGCTGTATTCACTTGGCATTGTTTCATAATTATTTTGTCACTTTGTCTTTCATACTTTTCCAAGTAAAAAATCATTACTCTCCACACTAAAATAATTCCACATTATTCGGTGCACTTCATTACAAAAAAAAAAAAAAAATGTAGAGGTAAAAATTTTCCTGGATATTTGGTCAAAATCATATATTCATCTTTTAAATTTCTCTTTTCTGTTTCAAACTCATTATTCTTTTCTTTCTGGAAAACAATGACCCAACTCTTTCACCATAAAGTATTTATTTTCTGATCATAACCATTGTCATTAAACTTCTTTTAAAAAGCAATTTTTACAGAAAGAATAAGATTTTTTTCAAACTTTAACCTTGCTGACTATATTATGTAGTACATTGTTTGAAAGTATAATGTCACCCTGATATCAGTTTCAATATTAAGTTCACTGAACTTTCCTATGATTTAACATGGTCCATCCAGGTATTGTATTTCCAAGGACCTGTAGCAGCTTTTAAAGTTACCTGTCTTCATTGTTTTGTCTCATTCTCTTACCCTAAAGCTGCTTGTCTTTTCCGTGGTAAATGGATCCCTATCATATTATTGGAGAAGTTCCTTTATTTAATAATTAATCACTGATACGGACTGTTTATTCTCATTTTTAGACATCTTTATGAAAATAATATGAGCCCATGGTGAAAAAGTATGCAAAATACAAAAAAATTATAAAAATAAAGTAAAATGTACTCATTTTCACTGTCAAGAAATAGTTTAAAATTCATATGCTCATTTTAAAGATGAAAAAGATTTTTTACATTTTACATAAGACATTATTTAATATGTATAATATATTGATGCATATATGCATCATGCATATGATCATGCATATAATATATTGATTTGCATTTATATATTGTAATAGAATTGTCATTTTCATGATATTTCATGCCTCTATGATGCTGCATAGTTATCATTTCTTTTTGTGATTGGAATAATTAATTAAGATGTAGTCTCTTAGCAAATTTGATGATTATAATATAATATTGTTGTCTATATTCACTGTTCTCTATCTTAGAGCTCCAGGATTTATTTCTCTATGAGAGGCAAGTTTGAACTCTTGAAAGACATCTCTTCTATTCTCCTACCCCACAGATCCTGGTAACCATCATATTAATATTACTGTCTGCTTTAAAAAGTTTGACTTTTTAAGATTCCACATTTAAGGGATATCATATAGTATTTGGCTCTCTCTGTCTTTTCAAAAAATAAACAAAAATACCAAGTTTTAGCTAGACTAACAAAAGAAAGAAAAAGACTCATACAAATAAAATTAGAAATGAAAGTGGAGACATTACAGCTGTTACTACAACTACATAGGCTCTTAAGAAATTATTGTGTAGAATTATATACCAACAAATTACATTACCAAGAAGAATGAATAAATTTCTAGAAACACACAGTTTATCAAGACTGAATCAGGAAGAGCTGGAAAATCTTGACAAGTCATAATAGCTAAAGATATTCACTTAGTTTCAAAAACCTCCCAATGAAGAAAACCCCAGGACCTCAATGGCTTCACTGACAAAATAGATGAAATATTTAAAAAATAATTAATGCCAGTTCTTCAAAAACTCTTCCAAAAAATTAAAAAGAAGGAATGCTTCTGAAACTCATTCTACAAGACCAGTATTACCTTTATACCAAATCAATAAGGATATGAATATAGATACAGAAATTCTCATCCAAATATCTGCAAGTCAAATTCAAGAACACATTGAAAGCATTACATACTGTGACCAGATGAGATTTATTCCTGGGATGTAAAGGATGGCTCAATGTACCTAAATCAATTAATGTAATATATTCCATTAATAAAATGAAATTTAAAACACTTGTTCATGCTGATAGATGTGGAATAACATTTGACAAGATGCAACATTATTTCCTGATAAAAACCCTCAATGCTGTGACTGTAGAAGGAAGATATTTCAACATAAGTCATATATAACAAACCCAAAGTTAGCATCATGTTCAACAGTGAAAATTTGAAAGCTTTTTCTCTAATATCAGGAACAAGACAAGGATGCCCACTATCACACTCGTTACATATATTATAGTATTAGAAGTCCTAGCCAGAGTAACTAGGCAAGACAAAGAAATAAAACATCCAAGTCAGGAAGGAAGAGGTAAAATCATTTCTTTTGCAAGTGATATATATATTTTTTAATACAGAAAATCCCAGAGATTCAGCCAAAAACCTGAATTAATTGGCAACTTCAGTAAAGTTGTGGGATAGGAAATTGGCATAAGGAAATTAGTTGTATTAAAGTTCACATTATAAGGGCTTTCCTGGTGGTCCAGTGATTAAGAATCCATCTGGCATTGCAGTGTACATGATTTGATCCTTAATCTGGGAACTAAGGCCCCACATGCCACAGGGATCTAAGTCCATGCACGAAAAATGACTGAGCCTTCAAGCACAATGTACTTAAATCACACTGAATATTATATGCTTTTAACAAATTTGTTAAATCTGATGCTTGAAACATATTTTAATTTGCATTTCCATGATTAACAGTGAGTTTGAAAAAAATGTTAGTTGGATTTCTAAATAATAATAATGAAACATCAGAAAAAAGAACTATCCCATTCACAGTTGGATCAAAAATTAGAAAATAACTAGAAATAAGTTTAACCAATGAGGTGAAAGATCTGTATTGTGATAATTACAAGACTTTGTAGAAAGAAATAGAATAAAGCACAAATAAATGTAAAGTCATCTTCTGTTCATGATCTCAAGAGGTAATATTTTTAAAATATTGACACTACCCAAAGCCAAAGGCATCATATTTCACAATTTCAAATAGTACAAAACTATGATGTTTAAAACAATATGGCACAGGCCTAAAAAAGACAA